TATATATATAGTGGACATCGATATATATATATATATAGTGGACATCGATATATATATATATATATAGTGAACATCGATATATGTATATATAGTGGATATATATATATATATCGATGTATTATTTAACTATCATTCACTAGACATACCGGTGGTGTTCCTTGGATGCAATGGCGTGGATTTTCAGCGTCTTGACGTTGCGCGAGTCGTGCAAATTCTGCGCCAGAATTTCAAAGAATTGTTCCCCCACCTACACATCCCATACATGTCGATGATGCCTCTCAATATCCTCTCAAGTCTTGAAGAGTGATGATATATATATATATATCCCATGGATGCTATCGTGGTTACCTCCATGGGGCGGTACGTGACGCGGACGCGCATGTGGCTGTAGGCGGCGACCGTGTACGGACTTTCGCCAAGGGCGTAGCCAGTGTTGTAGTCGGAGCACGTGAGCAGCTGCTTCTCCGGCGTCGACACGGACGACGTCACGAGCCGGAAGATGAGGGGGATTTCCGACCGGTTCCACACGGTAAAATCCTTGACGTACGACCCGCCGGGTACGCAGTCGTCAAAGTGGAGGTCCTTGATGTCCAGGCGTAGCAGCGACCGACACACGTTGCCGTGGAGAGGCACGGCGATGGTCGCGGCGCCGCCGTCCGACGGAGTGGAGACGGGAGGGCGGGACGATGAAGCGACGCCATTTGGTTCGAGCACAGTCGTGGCGAAGAGCAGGCGGCCGGACAGCGCGACAAAGGACGTTTCGTGCAAATGGAGCCGCTCGTCGTCGGACGAGTCGTCGGTGGGGCGGTTGCTGGACAGGCCCGACGACGAGTGCTGCAGCGGGGCTGTGTCGAACTTGACGCACATGGAAAAGATAACTCGTTGGGTTTGGTTTGGTTGAAGGAGCAGCGACTCGATGAGCCCCATTTGGTTGAACAGTTCGTTGAATCCTTCGTCCAGATACGTCGTGTCGGCCGCGGACGACGACGCCATCGATGACTTGGAGTGAGATCGGGTGAACCCGATGCTGTCGTTGTCGTCCATCATGTCGTCGTGCGGCGCGACATGAACGAGGGTAAGGTTCTCGTTGTGTGTCTGAAACCCCCAGGACGTCGCGTGGAAGGGCTTGCGAATGTCGGCTTTCAGGTCCACACGCACGGGACACGCTTGCAAGTTGACGATTTCAAATTGGCGCAAGTTACTCAAGTCCGACAGGTAAATGTCGCCGAAACTGAACAAGTTGGCCGTATCCACAGCGGAGGATGGAAGCATGCGAATGGCCAACGCCGGACGAACGAGCGGCGTCAGTGAGACCGTCGGGGCAGGTGGTGGTGTTGCTACTGTCGTCGCCGTGTTCTCGCGCGAGAACACACGATGCAACAGTGACCTCGTTGTCGACCGCTGCAGCTCCGCACTCGCACCCACTTCGTCGTCGTCCTCGCCATGATTGGACTTCTCATCACCTCGCCTGCTATTCCTTGAAGGCATTCCAGAGGTCTTCTTGAGTCAATGCTGAATGATCGGTGGGACTTAGCGTCCGATGGCGCCACGGCTCTGGATACCGCTGTCGCGAAATACTATTGTCTTGGTAATTCTCATGATTTTAGCCAATCACGACACAGTATATGAAGGATGCGTGGCGAGCAAGATAACCTCTTGCAATACATACTTACGAAACATAATATGTCCATTCGGACAGGTATACCTGTGAAACATTATGCATAGATTTAGATAGCCAATCGCTGCGCGAGAATTGGATATGTGGTAATCATTTTCGCAATTCATCCGTTTCCAAAAAAATGCACCACGGCGTCGATATACACGGGGCAATTTTAATGTTGTCCATTCTCGGCATCGTTTTCATCCGAGTTGGTTGCTGCTTTGACAGCGCAGTCGTGCGACGAGAAGTCTTCGCTGATGGAAGGTGAACCATCGAAGGACACAGTAGAAATGAGAAAGCTTGTGCACTCGTTGTCGCCCAGCGTCAACATTGACATCCACGACCAACCCCAGCCGGAGCTGGAAACCGTCTCGTCCCGGTCGGACAGCGACGACGACTCGGACGATGATGAGTCCAACCTCATCGACGACAACGAAGCAGACATGGCCTTGAGCGAAGAAACATATCCCCCGACATGTCTAGCGCAACAGTTGTGGTCACCATTTCGCAGACTTGTCATGGTTCGTACATTTGCACACACATCATGATCCACAATCTCCCCATCCCATCTTTAGTTCCCGGCAACCACGTTCATCATATTTGCTATTACAAACACACTCTTTGTCGGGACATGGTAAGCACACATGCAACCATCCAACCTCCAACCCTATCGACACATGACGACCAGGTCCTTCTTTGCTTGGGTTGCGTACCTCATCACCAAACCTGGTACGTGAGTTCTGCATCCCAGGTCATCATGCAAGTCTAGGCTTGTTTGTGGTTGTGGTGGCGAGCGGCGTGGGCCTCGGTCGCTTCGTCGCCCTCTTGATCGCGTACCCTGGGCACCTCCGCGTCGTGACTCGGGACTGCGAGCGCAACTTTGCCAAAATGTGCCAGCGGTGGCTACTGTTAACCGCCGACACCACCGACGACCTCATCAACGTACGTCCTCGTCATGTTTCGTCGGGGCTTACGTCCGCTCTAGTTGCTGCAATCCCCGGAACCGTGGGACCAGGCGCGCGTGGCCGCTTTCGTGGCCATCCGAGACGACTATCGCTCCTGTGTCACCAACATCATGACCATCCTGAGCCGGTCCCTCGAAATCGTCGACGCGGTTCGTTGTGCTCGTCCATCCGAATTCTCTTTGTCATGAACGATATAATCTTGTAGGAAGACACGTTAACACCCGACGGCCGCGCGGTGCTGTCTCGGGCTCGCCTATACCTTCAATATGCCAACGACCTGGAGCCTGCCTTGTTGTTGGCCATATCCCGAGAAGCTGGCGCAGCAGCTCCGTCGTTCCACGCGGCCCCACTAGCGGTAGGTCTCCGCGCAAAACGCGCTAATAGTGTGACCATTATTATGTACAGACGATGTTGGTGGCATTCAAGGCGTGCGTTCAGGACGTCCGAGATGCTGTCGAACTCATGGGTGAACCTTCCACGACTCCGGTGCGTGTAGTGTGTGCGTTGGCATTTGCTTAACATGGACATGTAGACGCGAACAGGGCTAGCGCGACTCGTGAGCGAGCTATGGCAGTCGCGGCGTCCATTTGAGATCGTGGCCAATCTAAGCCTCATGCGCGCCGACTTGGCCGCTCGATACGTACGACGTCCTATATCGATCCATGACGTCATCTTGAAAATCCAGAACGGGCGGCAACTGTGGGTGGACGCCCCCGACGGCCACCGCATCGACGCCATGTTCCTCCCCGGGCATGGCCACTCCAACGCGTCCTCCAACAACGGACGGACGGTGCTTCTGTGTAACCCCAACTGTGGTCTGTACGAATTTCACCATTTCCAATCGGATTGGATTCCATTTTACACCAACCACGGCATCAACGTGTGCGTGTTCAACTACCGAGGCTACGGTAATAACTACCATCTCTCCTATCTTCTTCTTTGGTGGTTATATAGCCTTGTGTAGGTCGATGCCAAGGCTACCCATCGCCCCATGCAAACAACGTTGACGGCATGGCCATGGTTCGCCACTTACAAGTCGTGCAAGGGGTCACACGCTTGGCTGTGCATGGAGAATCCATCGGAGTGAGTCGGCTCATTTTCTTTTGTGTTTAGCTTGAGTGGTGTTGATTTTTGATGAGTTTGTAGGGCATGGTCGCGACGTACGTGGCCAAACATGCAGCAGACATTGAGCTGTTGGTAGCCGACCGCACGTTTGCGAATTTGCCTGCCGTGGCCCAACGGTTGGTTGGTACGTCGTCGTCTGGTTTGTCGTTGCTATTGGTTCGTGTGCAACTTGCTAAGCAATCTCGACACAGCGTCGTGGGCTGGCAAGGCACTGACATGCGTCACTCGGTGGCAGACGGATAACGTGGCCAATTACTTGGACGCGCGGTGCCACAAAGTGATTTGCTGCGACCCATGCGACGAGGTTACGTGATTGAATCAAAGCCAACATTGCACTGACTGACGGTGAAAATTATATTAACTGTAAATATTTCTAAAAATTTTATTTTTTTTAAATTAGAATTTAAAAAGTTGTTTCTTGAAAATATTGCTATTTTTTTTAGTTATATATTTTTTTATTCAAAATAAATTTAAAATTTCAAATTGTTCTAAAGGACTCATTAAAAAATTATTATAAGTAAAAAAGAAAATAAGTTGAATACTGATTTAACACTTCAAAAAAATATTATGCAAATATTTAAAAAAAAAATATGTTTGTAGATTGTATCGGACGCATCGTCGTTAAAGGCGGGAATTGCGCTGCGCCTGGAGCTGGGGGACATGAAGTTGGACGCGCGAGGCCACACGTCATGTCTTGCACCTCCATGTCGATCGTTGCAGGCTCGACACGACTCGACTGCGCTCGTGTCCAGTACCTGCCAAATGACAGATATGTACCATATATTCTGACCACGAGGTTGCCTAGGCAACCCGTTGAATGAATCCAGCGTCGAGGAGTTTGCCCTGGCGTTGGAACGCATTGCGCAGCGTGCGCGGGAGGCCATGTCGCCCTCCTCTCGAAGCGATTCGGACGAGAAGCGCATCGTAGATGTTTGGAGCGCCGTGGCGTCAGTGGATGGGCATTGCGGCCAGAGCTTGTTTTATGCCTCTGGTACGTACATACATGATGTTCCTGCGCGTGATGGTTCCCACGTGTCATGGTGATGGAGGACGTAGGCGGGGGACTCGAAACGATCCGAACGTGGATGGCGTCGCTGCTGGTGTGGGGGCCATCGCGGGCCCAAAGCCAGGCGGACCACCCGGAGACGGCACCCGAACGGCGTCGGGATGACTTTGTGACGCCGATATCACTGGACCAAGCCCATGCCGTGCTGTGCAAAGTACGTCCGGATTCTTTTCCAATGCTAATCGTTTGTCCTTAGATATTGGACGATTGCCCGTCGTTCCACGAGGATGCGGACGTGACGACCTTGGTGGCGATGGTCGAGTACTTGCAAGAGTCGATGGCGCTACGGCTGGCCCAGACCACTCCGTCGCACGACATTGGGCGGTTGGTTCCTTTGAACTGTGGCCACAACGCCAACTTTAGCGATCGAGAGAAGCAAGCGTTTGCGACACATTTGATCAGCTTCAACTGGCTGGATGCTGACACGTTAACCAAGTAACCCATCCATCACGTGTGCCCGTTGGTGTCATCGGTTCACGTCGACGGTATACGGGACTTCCTGTATTACAGAACTTGCCAACGGTGATGACCCATCACGTTGTAGCAGTTGTCTACTCCAAGCAGTTCGTTCAGAAAGGTCAAGAGCTGACGGCTTGCATCCATGATCTGATTGAAGAAACGTCCAGCGTCAAATTTATCCGGAAATTCCATTGATGTCCGGTTACCTTGATAAAGCAATTAAACGCTCAAGTTAAACCAACCGTTTTTACAGACCTCTGGGTGTTTAACCTAAATAACGTTATCGTTTAAATTGTAACACAACGTCGCACTTCATTGTTCAAGAATCGATTGGATTGGTTAAAATACTTCGTGAGGGGAGAGCACATAGCTTGATATTTGTATTGTATTCAAAATCGAGAATCGGATTGGCTAGTGAGGAAACACGAAGTAACAGGTGTGAAATTGTCACGGTACTGGCCAGCGCCTTAATATAAATACCAGGATATATATTTCATACAAACTTTCTATAATTAAATAATAGACGTGCAAAGTTCATCGCTACCGTCCTCTTACTGTCAATCATTTTCGAATTCTCCATTCAGTGCTCACTCAATGAAAGCTGTCTATTTTGCTGCATGCGTTGCCGCCCTGGTCAACGGCCAAGCCACGAAGACGACCCTCACGCCTACGTCCACCCCACCGATAATCAAGGCTCTCTGCACGTCGGTCGAGATCAGCGAAATCAACGCCTTGGAAAGCACCCCCAGCTACAACACGTGTCGCTCAGATGCCCAAAAGCAAATCTTTGACGGACAACCCAATGACATTTGTGCTGTGCCGTCGTGCGTGACTGCTGTCAAGAACTTGGTAGGCAAGTACCCTCGTTGCGTATTTGACACCCGTGTCCCTGCCAACGACGTGCTACCGTACGCCAAGCAATGCAACGTTGACCCATTGGTTACAACCCCTCCCGAGACCACGACGCCCAAGCCCCAGTTCACAGTTGCCCCTACTCCTAACACGACGACTGTTGAAGACGAAGTGACCACGACCGCTACTCCCTCCAAGACTACCTCCAAGGTCGCGACCACTACGGCCACTCCTGTGGTGACGTCGGCCGCGTCGACGTTGTCGGTTGCTCTGACTGCATCGGTTGCACTTGTCTACTCGATGTTTTAAACCACTTCGTTGCATTTTGAGCGCTCTTCGTATTTATCTTTTGTGAAATGTGACGCGCATGTTTGTCGTGCAAATCATCGACCACATACAACTAATATATATACGATCACAATAGATGACACTGGTAGTTTCAAAATGCGTTTTCGTCATTTTGATAAATACCACCGGTAGTGTACACTATTTCACCAATCCAACTAGGTACTCATAGTAAAAGGACCTGTTCCAAGTAGAAATTTTAGCAAAATGAAAAATTGGTTCCAAGTACTGTTGTAGATATCTCACTGCCAAATCGAATCACGAATCGACGCTATTGGCTAATCCATTTTTGAGTGGATTTGATTGGCTCTTGCAGAAAGGACACGTATATATCAACCAATCAGAACTCCAGCGTATTTTGATTAGACAAACTAGGCGAGTTTTGGAAGTTTATAGCGAATGTGAAGGTGATTTGGGACGGAGTAGTATTGTGAATTCGCTTTAAACTTCCAAAATTCGCCTGGAGGGTGAGGGAAATGGTCATATTAGAACGAACTCGATGGAGCTGCTGCCTATAATCGCAATGCTACACCATCGGATTTTAGTTCATACTTCACCTGGCTGATAGAAACCTTCGTTAACAAAGTTGATCAACTTGGATGTTATATTTGAGACAGCCACTTTCAATGCCACACAACATGAACCAATGTAAACCGACCAGCCCGAGACTCATTCCTCGTGTTCACAAGCATTATCTCTACATAATGACGTATCATAGAGGTCGCTACGAAGTATATTCATCGAGATATTTGCTTACAAAGTATGATATATTTGCGTTTTTTTGCTACTTTGAGGACACATCACTCATGCTACAATGTTGCAATCGCCATATTTCTAGCTTTGACAGATAGCCTACAAGTAAGTTTGCAATATCTACATTCATCACAACGATCGTAGACAAGCGTGAGAGAGATATTCGATGTCAAAGTCATGTACTAGTTAGTACTTTCTAAGTTAGCTAACAAAGTTTATCATAAATTATGACTAACTTCAAGTCATACCGGTACAGTATTTGAAGCAATGTCTTATTATTATGTTACTTAGTTTTTAAATTTTCTCACAATTGAATGTCAAGCCCATTAAAATTACCGAACAGTTTTGAGCTGACAGTGAAGTCACTGACTGTGAACGGCACCATGCGTTCCCGATTGTCGCGTCTTGTCGAAAGGCCAATCGAAAGTCCTCATCCCCTAGTGTATCTATCAGGAGGACTAAGAGCTAGTGCGATGGAGCTTCCAATTCATTTGAGGCTCGCTGTTTTGTCATTTCCCGCACCCTCCTGGTTAGTCCAACCAATATTGAATCACGCCGGAGTTCTGATTGGTTGAATATACATGTCCTTTCTGCAAGAGCCAATGAAATCCACTCAAAAATGGATTAGCCAATAGCGTCGATTCGGCGGCGAGATTCGACGGGGTCTGGAAATTCGTATCAAATCCACAATAACACGTTACAGTTTCCTACTTTTTTACCTCTTTTTGTGCCATTATTTACGCAACTAAGTATATGGTGCGCGTCATCTATAAACTACAACTTTTCACAAAATTTTCTGACTTCTATTTCATATTCATTACTCCAAATTTCAGCAAATTGAGACGTAGAATCGATAGATCTCAATGTGGCGAAGAAATACTACGTCTCAGATTCAAATTTGGTGATGAATTGGCCCTGAAATAGATATTTAACCTAGCGGTATTTTACATGGGCGTTTGGATATTTGGCCATAGGGGTGGTCAGATGCTCCAGTTGGTTTGAGCAAATGCAAAGCAATTGAAAAATGGAGGTGGCTCCAATGACTGACTATTACCAGCTCGCTGAGCTGAGCGACACTGCTCGTGAGCATCTTGTTAGTTAGTACCTTTTGAAGTCATCTAGTGGGCAAATCAAACCTCCACAGAGCTTGAAATAATTCGCACTTTGGACATCAACAACATCAACTCTAGCCTGAATCACATGTTGTTGGGGTTAATAGAGCATAGGGTAGAGGGTAGCGTTGAGTATAAGAACTTAGGTAACGTTGGGTAGAGGGTAGCGTTGGGTAGAGGGTACACGGTCCGCTGTACCATATATTGGAATAAGCCGTCATTAACCTCATTCAATTCCTGCGATGGTCGAATTAAATTGGTGTAAAAAAACCTCTTGCTTGACTTCGACACGATCATCGACATCCATGAACAAACAGCGGTCTAGTGTACCACCAGCTCTGAACATATGCCTCTCCCGATCCAGGTCATATGCCACACTCCCTGAGATGTATCTTGATTTTTGTATGTGACTCTTATCCGTATATAGTATCCGGAGGCAGTTGGGACCTTTAACCTCCCACTTCAGTGATAAAACGCATGAAATCGATAATTAACGTATTTGGTTTTGGGTTTAACTACATTAATTGGTACGTTAAATAATAAAACCTCTACTCTTCGATTTGGCCAGTTGGAAGTTTTTAGATGACGTCCACCATACCAAAAGTAAAAAAAGAGAAAATCGATTTTGATTGGCCCATGCTATTTCTGAAAACTACTTGGAATTTCCCCTAATAGAGGAGATATTGCGATGGAACGAGTTCCATTCCGCATCCATAGCGGCGCCCCAACATATGGTGACAAAAGCAGAGTCTACCTCTCAGACATAGTTATGGAAACTGTCAAAAATAATGCTCAATCCCCATAATTGACCAATTGTATGGAATCAATTCCATTCTGTACATTTCCAAACGACTCGTGGTCCCAACTTCAACGCCGACCATGGCCACACCAGTGAAGCGACGCAACTATCTATAAATATCAATTATAAGTAATTAAAAATGATTTTGGCAACCCAATATATTACTACATCACGTTACTAGTATGTCGAATTACCTTTGAATATTTTTTGCTACAAGTCTCAAATTGAAGTAGAGTAGGTTTCCCCATATCTC